ACGGATCATTAGTTCATGTTTACAAATGTCATTAAACTTTCAATGCGTTTAAAAAAATCTACAAATGATTTTTACAGAAATTATACAATATTTACAAGCTTATTTGTTAATGTACTTTTGAATGCTTACAAATGTCACTTCAGTTCACATAATAGCTAATGCTCATTTTTACATTTACAAATGTTGTGAAAATATAGCTCATAGGCACTTCACAAACTATTCATGTTAATATATTTATTAGCTCATAATCACAGACTGTTAAGGTCATATATTTGGTCTTTGTTTATTCTGTTGACTTCTACTATTTGCACATCTTAAATAATTTATTAATAATTTGTTCATGTTTTTGCAGTACCCAATCTAAAGTGGAAACTATTCATCGATTGTAAATGTTTATAAACATTTACTTATCATTAGTACCTTTATGAGCAGTCATTTTGATGGCAAAAAAGTGTCCCAAATGACCGGAATTCACCCTATTTTCAAATCTTTGCAAATCATTTATTACTCATTTGTTCATGTTTTTGCAGTACCCGATCTGAAGTTGAGACTATTCATCATTTGTAAATGTTAAAAAATTTTTTAGTATCTTTATTGGCACTGGACCTTTAGCTACTGTAACAAAAGTTTGAGTAAAGGGTGGTTAGTTAAGTTTAGCTAAATGTTTGGTAAAGACATTACACACATTGTAATTTGGGTGCAAATAATGTTTTTATTGTTTTATTGTTTTTATTGTTTTATAGTATACTATTGTGAATCATTAAACAGAATATTCCTTGAATCATACGTTAACAGGAGGGGGGAAAAACTAATTTTTCAAGAAAATACTTAATTTATCATTTATCAAAACAATGCAATATAAACATTGAATTGTGTTCCCTTACAATCAAATTGACCCCTGTACACTTGTTGACCCCTTACCCAAACTTAAACCTACCCATATCACCAAACCTGTCCCTAACCCTACCCGTATCACACTACGTTTATAAACATTTACAATTTTTTTTAGTATCTTTATTGGCACTGGACTTTTAGCTACTTTAACAATGTTTGTGTAAAGGGTGGTTAGTTAAGTTTAACTAAATACACAAGTTTAAGCTAAATGCTTGGTAAAGGCATATCACACATTGTAACTTGGGTGCAAAACATGTTTTTATCACCTCAACACTTATATTAGTATACTATTGTGTATCATTAAACAGAATATTCCTTGAGTCATATACATCAACAGGAGGGGGAAAAACACATTTTCAAGAAAATACTTCATTTATCAAAACAATGCAATATAAACATTGAATTGTGTTCCCTTACAATCAAATTGACCCCTGTACACTTGTTGACCCCTTACCCAACTCTAGATATGTGAATATATATGAACTAATGATCCGTTAAGCATTACATAATGTTTGTTAGTGACTTATTAATGAAAGTTATTATAAAGTGTTACCGTATTTTCAGTACTTCAGTATAGCACTTTCTCCTTTTTTATTTTACCTTGTTTTTCTCAGTGGGCAGACAGAACAGGTCTGTCAGAAGGGAGAAACACAGCCTATCTACATCTAAAGCTTCACTGTACCACTAAAGGACATATAAAGTAAGGCTGATGGGTATATAAACAGGTATTTTGGTTACAGATATATTAAAAAAAAAAAATATATATATATATATATATATAAGCAGAGACAATACTGATTATAGTAATATAGTTAAGTTTGGTTTGGTAAATGCATCTAAAAAATAGTGGAGGACACAGTAAGTTGATAAGGGAAAAGTGCACATCCAACATGAAATTGCTTTACATTAAGTATTTCAAACTAACACATAAGCATATTAACAGACTTTACCCATAGGTGGAGGGTGAACCAACTCCAGGGTAAGGCTAAAAGCAGCCAAATGTATTAAACATCATAAACCCGTCTTTTTAGGCAAGAACCAGACATGGGTGTCATGTCGGCTAAAAAAAAATGTTTAATGGGACTGAATTTGTATTTAACGTGATTACAAGTACAGCTGCTTCCTAGAGTTCTCAGTCTGAAAGCCACTATCTCTGCCACAGTATGTTTGGGTGAACATTCAAGTCATATTTCACTCCAACATAAAAATGTAATTAAAAAGATTATTTGCTCATGTAAGAAGCATTAAGACCTTTAAACATAGGCGGAGGGTGAACCGACTCCAGGGTAAGGCTAAAAGCAGCCAAATGTATTAAACATCATAAACCCGTCTTTTTAGGCAAGAACCAGACATGGGTGTCATGTCGGCTAAAAAAAAATGTTTAATGGGACTGAATTTGTATTTAACGTGATTACAATTTAATAAAAACGTTAGAAATTGATAATTATATAATGTTTCCTTTCCACGGTTATTCAAACAGCGAATAATTTATATATAGAAAGTGACATTATCACTAATCTAAGTTTAAGCACTCTCAAAAAAGAAAAAAAGTTATAATCACTGAAGCTGTACACACTGTGAAATGAATCTCTTACTTGCATTGTAAATACATCTGCGCTTTGTTGTTTATGATGAGAGAATTCGCAAGAGTCCGGAATTCAGTCAGCGAACGCGAGCGCACTCAACAAAACTAATCGGTTTCAACAATGACTCATCTGAACGCCTCTGATTAGCCATTGCATTCCTAAGTTTATCAGAATTGTGTGTGATTGGTTCAAATGTGCAACACTGTAAAAACGCCTAAAATGAAATATGGTGCAACATGAGCAGATCTTAATTTAATGCCGCAATCGACGACACTGTCTATTCATATTCACTTTGTTAGCAACAGACGTAATAGATTTAATTTATTTGTGCAGGGGCATTTTTGTCAAATTTAGTGCCATTTTTGCCCCAATTCCCTGTGGCCAGGGGAAGGCTAAGCCCCAGCCTTACACACGCTTCGCCTATGACTTTACCCTGTCAGATGTCTCTGTTGACCAAACAATGATTTGTCTTTTCTGAATCATTAAACTATTGGTGTCCAGGACACTGTGAGCCTGGAGACTGTAATGGCTGTTGAGATAATCGGAACATTTAACCCATTTCATAGAAAATACAGAGATCTCTGCCTATATCGTGTAGCATATAAAATTACAGACAAACGATTTTTGGTCTAAATCACCCAGCCATAATGTAAAGGACTGCTGACATGTTATACTGTATAATCACAGCTCTCACTGGATTTGGATGGTATTGTGTTTATTAACTAATCATTGCTGTATTTTTACAGAATTTCTGTCAGTCATTTGTGCCATTATTGTATGCAGAGGAACCTGTCAATTCAGCATGCAGTATGTGAAGCAGTTCATTTTGCTAGAGTCAGGAATTCATAAACAACTACTTTACACAGTGTGTAGAATATGCAGAGCTGGCAGATTCCTGTGAATGAATCAGATAGGCCTCCAGATATTGAGCATATCAGAGCGACAGCGGAAAATGGTAAAGAAGTAATTGTGGATGGGTGCCAGCAAAATTATTTGAAGGGTCTCTGTTCAGTCAGCATATAAACGTGAATTTTATATCAGCCATTCATCTTTTAGCATCTATTCTATGGTGACACACATACTTTTGGTCACTTGGTCACTAGTGATCCAAAGATTAGACGTTGCTTTGATTAATACATTTTTCATGCATGTTGTCTTGGTTGAATTCAACATGTCATTATAAAATATAACTGCTCTGAATATGTATTATCCCAAATATATTGACTATCATAACATTTTTAAAATGTGGTTCCAAACTAATGATAGCTGAGAAAGTTCTGTTTAAATTATGACTGATTTACATATTTGGTAGGATGAAAATCGTAGCCCCAAATTACATCTTCAGCATCCTTATATGAGACTGTAATGTCTTTCAGGTCTTTTCAGTGTTCTTTCAGCATCAGCGTATTTATTGATGTGTTGAAAAAAGTATTTTGTATTGTCAAAAGCATGTTGAGAGCTGTAATTTTGAGTGCCTCCATCTCCTCAAGGAAACAGATTCTGAATAGCAGATTGAAATTACAGTGTAGAAAAGTTTTCCTCAAAATGAACAAACTGTGATTCTGAAAAGAAAAGATTGGACTGCCCTGGGATACATTTATATTATTCTCTTTCTCTCTTTTTAGATGACTTGAGTCATGAAGCCTCTGGATCATTTCTGGATGCGGCCACATCACCCTCCTCAACCCATTTGTTTGGCGGCTTCCATATGACAGACAGGAATCCAGCTTCTGTAGTCCAATCAGATCCCACAGGCTCGTCAAAGGGTAGCAGGGAACAACCTGCATTTTCCTCTGTACTCACATTACTTGCCAGCACGGCCCAAAAGCCTCCCAAACTCTCATCAAAAGTTGTTGCACGTGACAATGAAACACATCAATGGCCTTCAAATGGATCTTTGGAACGATTGGAGCCATTTACTCTTCCATCGTCTGTGCTGGTCAGCAACCAATCCAATAACTCAGGTTTGTTCCCAGAATGCAATTTAACCTGCTATTTCTATATCTTACAGTTAATTTAGATGTAATTGGGTTTGTATAGACTACCCTGTTGAAAAAAGAACAGCATATGCTGGTTAGGTATGTTTTGAAGCATGGCAGCTGGTTTGAGCTGGTTTAAGCGGATCCTTAGTTGGTCACGAGCTGGTTTATTCTGGTCCTGAGCTGGTTATGAGCTAGTCCTGAGCAGGATCTAGTTGCGTAGGACCAGCTTAGGACCAGCACATTACCAGCTCATGACCAGATAAGGACCAACTAAGGACAGGCTCAAACCAGCTACCATGGTTCAAAACATACCTAACAAGCATGCTGTTTTTTTTCAACAGGGTAGTCAATCATGGGTCAATTAATCCTTAAACTGTTCCTTAAAATGAGTGGGCATGCAAGCCCTGCTGTCAACATCAAATTTGCCATCTTTTCCGTCATCAAATGAATCATGGTTATTGTCCAAAAATTGTGTCCAAATACACCTCATTGAAGCATTTCAAATTGAAATAGGCTCAGCATGTTATTTTATCATTTTTGCCTTTGTTAGAACACAATGAAGCACTAGCAACTTCAAAACAGTTCTGCAAACTGTTTTGAAGCTTATGTAACCACTTTTCAGAGTTTTATGAAAAGAGTTTTAGAACCTTCTGTTTTTCAAAGCTGTTTGAACAGCCACTGGGCACTATGTCACAAATCACACATTATTGCTTCATCCCAGGAGCTCTTTCAGTGCTGTAGCAGTTTACGTAGAACCCATTCAACAGGCCCAGAGCACTAAACATGCCCCAGTGTTTAACAAAATCCCCAAAAATGGCATCTACAACTGTGCTACTCTCAACACTTCCCCACACACAGTGATGTCAATTGCCTCATTGTTGGACCCCACTGATCACAGGAAAGTGAGTAAAATGGTATAATGCAAAGCTGAACTAAATTAATTGATATTTACATTCAAGGCATTTAATAGACTTATTCAGAATATTTTTAGACAGTGAATCAAACATAGGGAAGTGCTGGTCTGTTTGTTTCCTCTTGCCAAGATAATAGTTTTGAACATGGTTTAAAGGGTTCATGAACTGCCTTTTTCTTATTATTTTGTACTGTTCTCCGAGGTCCACTTATAATGTTATCAAGATTTTTGCGTAAAAAAACCCATAATTTAGAAGTAATAGTCTATTTTCTGACCTGTATTGACCCCCCTCATCAGAACGCTCTGCTTGAATAGGCGTGGCGGATTGTAGACTCGGACTGGTATGATGGAAATGCCCACTGGTATGCTTGGCTAACTGTTGTATATGTTTGACAGCCTACATCCTTCACAGATGCACAGATGACATGATTTAGGTTAAAAAAGCATAAATACTCAGTACATATCAAACGATCTGTAATAACAGACAAAGAAATAGTGACCATGTAATAAAAACAGTTACTCACACTTGTGTGGAGCGACATTACTGTCGGATCCAATATAGTCGGCACAGCATCATCTTTTAGTTTCAATCTTTCTGAAGTTCCTGCATAGAATTGCCTTGTTTGTAACAAATCCATGGTAAAATGAAGTGTATAAAGGACCAAGTTCTTACTGATGCGGTCTGGATCTTAAAAATAAAGTTAATCCGCTCTTTCCTAATGCTGGGATCAGAAGGAAGGCAATGCAAAGACTGTTTTTCCACAGCTTGGCACTGCACAGTGTCTTGTTGTCTTCGGAGGCACTTTTAAGGTTTCAGCGTAGACCTGCATTTGTCTCTCTTCCTATTTACACTACATGCGCAAATCGGTGGGCAGGGCTTAACAGGCAGTGATGTAGAAGCAGGCGTTGATCTTCTTCTGCGGAGGTGGTGTTTAGTCACACTCTTACATCATAGAGTGGTGCATTCCACAACCGGTCGTTTTGGCAGATTGGCTTCAATATAAGCTGTTTTTAGACTAACAAGAAAATTTTGAGTTCTGAAACTTACATGATGTTTTATATAGTACAATGACCTCTTATATGTTAAAAGATTTAATGTATTTTGATTTCTCAGTTCATGACCACTTTAAGTAAGAAAAAGGACCAGCAATGCTGCCACATTCTTGATGAGCTGTTGAGGATTGATTGAAGTAAAATTCCCTATAGTAGAGCTAAAAACAGCTACTTTACAGCTGCTCTATACAATGTGAAATGCGATTTAAAGGGATAGTTCACCCAAAAATGAAAATTCTTTCATTAATTACTCACCCTCATGTCGTTCCAAACCCGTAAGATCTTTGTTCATCTTTGGAACACAAATTAAGATATTTTTTGATGAAATCCGAGAGCTCTCCATAGACCGCAACACAACTGAAATGTTCCCAGGTCCAGAGACGTAGCAATGACATCGGTAAAATAGTCAATGTGACATCAGGGGTTCAACCGTAATTTTATGAAGCTACAAGAATACTTTTTGTGCGCAAAGAAAACAAAAATAACAACTTTATTGAACAATTCTTCTCCTTCTCATCCCAACTTCAGTGGTGTGCCGCCATTCATGGAAACAAACAACGCATGCGCTTGCTGACGCGTGTAGAGAGCTCTAGGATATCATCAAAAATATCTTAATTTGTGTTCTGAAGATGAACGAAGGTGTTACGGTTTTGGAATGACATGAGGGTGATTAATTAATGACAGACTTTTCACATCCCTTTAAATCCCATTGAACTTCTATCATTTAATTTATTTCCCAGTTAAACGTGATAGTCAACCAAAACTTATGTAGGGTGAGACTTGCTTTTAAATTTTATTCTATTACATTATTTATTTACTTATTTATTTATTGGATTGTGACAAATAGAAATCAGGTGGTTGAAGATTAGGGGTGAAAAATAAAAGTGAATCATAACATGATTGGTTCCATATTGATAAACAATTACAGGCATTATTTTTTAAATAATGTGAAAAGATGAATCATGCACAGTAAGACCAAGAATATGCAGTAAACCCTCTTTTTTTTGTTTTTAAATAGGCTCATGTTGATAATGCCATCTCTGATTGACAAGTGTTTAGAAGGGAGTGGTTGAAAATTATATTCTATAAAACTATGTTCTTCAACCACACCGTTTTAATGTTATTCAAAATAGAATGTCGTGTTCATTCGAATTTTTTTTTTGATTTCATGGTGACTTTAAGTGCGAAGCATAAACTCCATCTATGAAATTCAGTATATACTGTGCCAAACATCTCCAACCCTTGAAACTCTTGAATTTTCCTGGTACACTTGTTCTTTGTAATTAAGCCCTCATGTCAGTCAACAGCCATTGGTCAGTCAAGTTTGTAGGTATCCAAACATCTAGCATTGTTGTTCTGCAGTAACAGACTAGAATATAAGAGAACATAACATTTGAAATCCTCTTCTAGAGAAAAGTAAATTATACTTTTTTATATAATAACCATAACTCCATAATGATATTGTTTTAAGCATGTAAAGCTGATGTCCCTTTTGACATGTATACAGTATAGTGAAACCGCTATAATAAAAGTAATTGATTTAAATGAAGTATTCAAATCCAAGAGCAGCTCAGAATCACAAGTTCTTAAAAAATAATCTGTTAAAGTCAGGTTGTGTAAATGCCAATATTTCATTTAATTCCCTGGGATCAGAGGAGACATGCACGGCTCAGGCAATTAAATATTTAAAGATGGGCAATCAGCCATCAAGGGTTTTAAGGTAGAGTTCCCCCTTCATGACTTTGTGAGGAGTCTCATAATTAGATACAATAAGTAAATTATGTTCAATGGGAATCTAAAATTCTAGCTAAAAAAGCCATTCTCTACCATAAAACCAACCAACCTCGACCATACAAGAATATCCAACAACACTAGAATTGACCAACTGAATAAAGTATGGTGAATCAGTGAGTATGAAGGTATGTGATTAGGCTTTTACAAGATCACAAAAACAGAACATTAAATAATACAAATAAATAATATGAAATACATATGGCAAAAAAAAGTTATTTATTCACCCTCATGCCTCTCCAGATATTTTCATCCATTAAATGCAAGGATGAGAGGTTTTTCACTGTAACCATCAAGCTCAAAAAAGACCATAAATCTAGCCAATATGATTTGTGTGATTTGATTGCTTTATGTGAAAAGTAGACTATACAGTAAGCTGTATTCACTCAAAAATCCTCCCCTATTCAAATCTGATGTGCAATAACTTTTGTTTACAGAATGAGTGGCATATAACGAAGAAAGAAACTGTACACAAACCTCACTGGTTTTCATGTCAATCATCATCAGTGGCTATGTTTACACGCAACCAAATAATCTATTTGTAATCGGATTGACGGCTCAATCGGACTGAAAACCCTTCATGTAATCATCTTAATCGATCCGATTGAGCTAGATCGGAATGAAATTTCGATCCGTTTGAAGGGGGTGGTTTATTCCTTTTTCTACTATGATTGAGAGTGCATGTAAACACAAAACGGATTGAACCCCGAAACTGAAAGGACTGCGCATGTGCAATGACGCAGAAATAGCGTAATGACGTATGACGCGCGGAACGAGCGGCTCTTCCTTAAAAAATAAAGTGTTGTATAAATGCATTTTAAAACATCTCGGTTACATATGTAACCTTGGTTCCCTGAATAGGGAACGAGATGCTGCGATGACGTCATCGCTATGGGAACACCTCCGGTGTGACGAATGTCTAAAGCCCTTATACCATGACGCCAATTCATCGGCCAATAGCGCTTAGCACCGCCCCGAGCATATGTCACGTATGCTCATATATGCTCATATATTTCATCAGATTTTCCACATGATGAAAGAAGCTAGGAACGAAGGTACGGAACGGCCAGCATCGCAGCATCTCGTTCCCTATTCAGGGAACCAAGGTTACATACATAACCAAGATGTTCCCTTTCATAGGTTCACTTCAATGTTGCGATGACGTCATCACTATGGGAACGCTATACCATAACGCCTGATGTACCTAAGATAGCTGGAAGACCGA